CTTCAGTGTTTTGTTCTTGTCTTGTATAGGTCAAGCCTGAGGACGTTTAAACACTTGTTCGCAGAGCCAACTATGAGTAGTAGTGTAGTAAAATTATATTCTTAAAATTATGATTCGAAATGCAAACATATGATATGTTTATGATATTGAACATACATCATTACAGATATTATTACAAAATATTCCTACAACGAACAGATAGGCATTTAAATACACATTAAACACAGATCACATGCAGAATTAAATAGATGTAAGTTTAACACGTTATGGGGTCGTCACAAGAAACATAGTTATGTATTGTTCCTGTAGAAATTTAATGTATAAAGAGAAATGATTGTATTATTGATTGTTGTATGTTGTATATTACAAATGGTGAGGGGCTCCTTATATAGGAGATGTAGTGGAGTAGGTGGTAGTAGGTGGTAGTGGTAGGTGTGTAGTAGGTGGTAGTAGGTGATGGTAGGTTTTAACAGCCCCCCGCAAACTCAAGGGGGATAGGAACTAACCAACTTGAGTTTGGAGAGAGTAACAAAACAAGAAAATAAAAAATAAAAATAAAAAATGGATAGGAGACACTGTATAGTCGTGTCAGACCGTTGTAGAAGACTGTATGGTTATGACAGACCGATGTAGAAGACACTGGCTCGTGTCGGACCGATGTAGAAGACAGTTTATGGGGCCATGTCGGACCGTTGTAGCAGACAATGTTGTGACAGTTGTTGTGACAGTTTACGGAGTCTTGCTGGACCCTTGGAGAAACTAACCGGAATCAATGTCGGGACAGTTTACAGAGTCTTGTCGAACCCATAAAGGAGCTAACCGGAATCAATGTCGGGACAGTTTACAGAGTCTTGTCGAACCCCCAATCCAAGCCACCGGAATCAATGTCGGGACAGTTTACAGAGTCTTGTCGGACCCATGAAGGAGCTAACCGGAATCAATGTCGGGACAGTTTACAGAGTCTTGTCGGACCCATGAAGGAGCTAACCGGAATCAATGTCGGGACAGTTTACAGAGTCTTGTCGGACCCATGAAGGAGCTAACCGGAATCAATGTCGGGACAGTTTACAGAGTCTTGTCGGACCCATGAAGGAGCTAACCGGAATCAATGTCGGGACAGTTTACAGAGTCTTGTCGGACCCATGAAGGAGCTAACCGGAATCAATGTCGGGACAGTTTACAGAGTCTTGTCGGACCCATGAAGGAGCTAACCGGAATCAATGTCGGGACAGTTTACAGAGTCTTGTCGGACCCATGAAGGAGCTAACCGGAATCAATGTCGGGACAGTTTACAGAGTCTTGTCGGACCCATGAAGGAGCTAACCGGAATCAATGTCGGGACAGTTTACAGAGTCTTGTCGGACCCATGAAGGAGCTAACCGGAATCAATGTCGGGACAGTTTACAGAGTCTTGTTAGGGATGCGCGAGCAGAGATAAGTGTGCTAAAGGCGGAAAATAAGGAGCTGAAGCGGAAGGCCACCGTTATGTTCCGATTTGGAGGTCCGTCATATGCTGTAGTGGAGGAGCAGGGTGGAGTGATCGTGCCTAGTGGAGTGGGAAACACGGAGGCAACACTGTCAAGGGCTGCCCAGGACGGAGGCAAGAAGAAAAGACCGGCGGAATAGGCGAAGAAGTGAGGTTGGTGGGTGGCCGTCTGCAGAAAAGAAAACAAATCTGTTGGTGTTGTGTTTTGGTTTGTTGTTTTTTTATTTTTTTATTTTTTTATTTTTTTTTGTGTAAAATTGTGATCGGGGTTGATCTCTGAAATGAATAAAATATGGTTTGGTGTGCAAAGCTATATATATATATATATATATTTTTTTTTAATTGTGATCTGAGATATCATTTGTTGTCTTCATTACAGCTGATCACGAGGCAATTTGTTCCTATGTCTGGAACTTTCATCTTCAACGGCATTGACCACAAGTCTCAGCTTTTGTCATTATAGAAAGAGTGTGATGATGGATATGGGTATAGATGTAATAAAGGAATGAAAAGAAAGAAATAAATAAAGAAAGAAAAGAAGAAAAGAAAAAGGGTTTGTGCAATATATGATAATAAACATAGATATATATAGATATATATTAAAATAAAAGAAAGTTGAGTGGGTTGATTAAAAAAGGATTGTGTGTTTGAAAATGAAAAAATAAAGAAAAGAAAAGAAAGGGGATCATGTGGTGAAAGAAAAAGGAGCTGTGGGTTTGAAAAAGTAAAGTGAGAGAGAGGAATTTCGATGCAAGTTTTCTGACTCTTCTCAAAAAACAACACAGCAGTGGCTGTCCCTCGGGGGGTGCACGGGCAGAAAGAAAGCAAGGGTGTGTGAATGGCTTCATCTTTGAAAGCATCCATATATTTTCTATCCACGGGCTCAACAGGTGGGAGTGAGAAGATGACACGGGAGATTTGTGGCCCAGATAAATTAGGTGGACAACCCAAGTGAACCTCGCTCATCAGGATATCCTCCTCGTCGGCGAAGATTCTGGAATTCTAGGGCAAAAATACGAGCCCTTACCACCGCCGCAAGGATCTGTTGAAATTCAGAGATCGGAAAGTTTACGGCGAGTTTCCGGGAGGCACTCATCGGCGGAGGATCGACGAACCGGCATGAAATGGGAAAACCACCACCACCACCACCACGGCGGCGGCGCTAACAAGATCTCGTCTCTCCGAGGCTGATGATTCTCAAAGCATCCGACTGTTAAATCATAGGTGGAGCGATGCTCAAGCGTCGGAGATGCTGTATCTACGGACGGAGATGATAATGAGCGACAGTCGGAACTGGCGGCGGAGCTAGTGAAAGCAGGTCAGCAGTGATAGTGTCGGTAACATTATCTATGGTAGTTTTGAAGAGATTTGCTTGCATGTGATGGAGAGAGAGAGAGAGACAGATTCTCCTCTTTCAACTAAAGAGAGAGCCCATCCTGGCAAGAGAGTGCACATGTGATGGAAGTCATGCAGAAACAGTTGAGAGATGAGAGGTCCGGCGGGCGGCCAAGGCGAGGCTGCCGCCCGCCGGTGAAGCGAAAATACTAGGTTCTCAACCTAGCTCTGATACCATGTAGAAATTTAATGTATAAAGAGAAATGATTGTATTATTGATTGTTGTATGTTGTATATTACAAATGGTGAGGGGCTCCTTATATAGGAGATGTAGTGGAGTAGGTGGTAGTAGGTGGTAGTGGTAGGTGTGTAGTAGGTGGTAGTAGGTGATGGTAGGTTTTAACAGTTCCTAACGGTTTCTCTTTGAAATCATGCTTATGTCCAAATATTATCACTTCTTTGAATTTAATCTTCCTTGAGCTTCTTCTTATACTCTAGATCACTACTACTAGAATTTTGCATTTTTAAAATGTTCTTTTCTTACAATGGCAAACCTCTTCCCCAACTAGTTTTTAACTTTTTTTTAATGACCTTCCAATATTCATAAAGTGTATTAACATTTATACAGATTTTAGTTTTTGTTGTCAACATTTTCAAATGCATTCAATTGTTTTTTTGTTTTGTTTTGTTTTTTTCCTCATTTCTCTTATGTTTTCAAAACACTTCCGAAGCATTTTTGTTTCCAAGCTAACCGATACAACATACCAAAACGAAAATTTGATCCTTGGCTTGACTAGGATAAGGCTGTATTTAATAAACATATTTTCAGATTCTTTGTCTCAACATTATGGAATTGAAACACCACAAGTTAATTATAGCTTTACTTGTCTTTTACTACTGTGGGAATTGCAACTAAGTGGGGAGATTGAAAGTAATTGCAAAGACATGTGTGAGTGGCTCTGTTGCAACTGCAAAATGTGGTCTTACTTGCACCAAAGCACAGACCCCACTTGCATCTCCATATTTTTGCAATTACTTTCACTTGTTCCCACTGATTTGCAACTCCTCCTTTACTATTAATGCTTGGGTTAGGACTGCAAAACAGGGAACACTGACCCTTTGGTTACTGGGAACATTTTATACGTAGTCTAGACTTTATAGTACATACCAATAACATGGCCTATAAAACAGTCCATGGACATATACTACTTCCTAAGCCCAGCAATTATTCCTCAAAAACCTAATAATATTAAATTAGTCAGACCAACAACACCCAAATTCAATTCAAATTAAATTTAAACATTATACATGAGGTCTGAAAGAGAACCATTTATGAAATATGTAATTTGTCCTTAATTCTTCTTTGCACGATTTGCATCAGTTACACTTTTAACATACACTTTAGTTAAATTCCAACACAGCTCTTCCCTCCCATGTTTCTTAGAAGTTCCCAATACCGGTATATTTGTGGTCTTCCATATTAAACTTCTTGCAGTGATGGAATTGGTTAACCATGGTAAATTGCATGTGATAAATAATCACAAAACACTCCTCAAATTTCAATTTGAAAAATTGGACAATTATAATTATTGGAAGTTGATAAAATAAGAACTTAATAAAAATCTCCCAAGCACCAGCATTTTTCCTTCAGAAAAAGTATACTCTTGTCTATATGATTGAAGATGTATATATAGGATAGACTCCTAACATGCTGTAAGAAGATTATATGCAGAGACCAGATCATAAATCCCCTTGATTGTAGATTTTCACTTTTGGTCAATTTCTTTATGTTGTATGCAAAGCAAATAGTTGACGACTCCTTTTTGTAGTAATTATTCACACAATGACTCTTGGGGCCATAAAGTGGTGCCGAACCTTGATCACTTAGAAGAATATTGTTTCCATTTTGTGAGATAGAGGTTTTGACTCTATTCATGCTCCCTCACAGCCATAAGGAAATTCAGCTGAGTCTAATGGTTGTGGGATATTAATTTTTATGGGGTTTTTGGGATGGATAAATGATTTAATGTGTCTTAGTTAAAAATCCTTTTGAGGGGTGTTTTGGTGTTCTTCCCAAATTGTACACTAATACTACTAGTTGCTTTGAATCTTTTTATTTTATTTATTTTTACTTAAATAATTTTTTGAGTATTATTTCTGATATCATCTCTTGTTCCAGGTTACTGGTGAGGCAGAATACACTGATGACACACCAATGCCTCCCGCAGGCTTACATGGTGCTCTAATATTGAGCCAAAAACCTCATGCTCGTATACTTTCTATTGATGATTCAGGAGCCAAGTCCTCACCTGGATTTGCAGGAATTTTTTTTGCTAAAGATGTCCCAGGTGATAATATGATTGGGCCAGTTATTTCTGATGAGGAACTTTTTGCTACAGAATTTGTCACTTGTGTGGGACAGGTAATGGCCTTTCCATTAAAATATTTTCATCTACATAGATTTTCAGTGAAGAATGGAAAGGATGCCATTCTACTGCATTTTACACAGTACTTGAAGTCGCAGATCCATTTTCTAAAACATAATTTTTACAAATGGAGGCATCATTACCAATTTTTTTTGACAGTTCATTGTGGAAGAAAATAAATGGTCTCACATTAAATGCTATTCAAGCTATCTTGGATGATTTTAGCTTGATAGCATTTAAAATCACACCTATATATATATATATATTTTTTTTTGGTTCTAACCACAAGGGATGGTGGTGTGAGGTGTGTTATAAAGGCTATCGGAGTGGTGGTTGCTGATACCTATCAACATGCAAAACTAGCAGCAAGAAAGGTTCATATTCAGTATGAAGAGCTCCCAGCAATCCTTTCAATAGAGGATGCCGTGAAATGTAACAGTTTCCATCCTAATACAGAGAGGTGTTTAGAAAAAGGAGACGTAGACCTTTGTTTTCAATTAGGTCAATGTGACAGAATCATTGAGGGTGAGGTTCAAATAGGAGGTCAGGAACATTTTTACTTGGAGCCACAGAGCAATTTAGTATGGACTATGGATGGTGGCAATGAGGTTCATATGATTTCATCCACCCAAGTAAGTTGTCTCTGCTTGAACTTTTAATCATTCTAGGTTCTGTCATGAAGTTGCCCAAATTATATGCTTAATTAGAAGAATTTGATTAAGAAAATTTTACCTGATGGTCCAAACATTGACCAGAATGTTATTTCAGTACTTCATTGTCAGAAGTGCACTGTTTTTGGCTTTTTTTTAATTGCTTAACTCCAGATACCTGACCTGCATTTTCTTTTCAATGTGTGTCATGCTTTCTTGATTTCAAAAAGTGCCATATGTAGTTGATTTATATTAGGGGTGTGCATGGGTCGTGTCGGTTCGGGTTTGGCATTAACAGACTATGTCGGGTTACACTTTTCTGGGTCCGACTCCAACCATGCTATTGTTCGAAACCACTCACTTCGAAACCAACTTTGGCGGTCGGATTTCGGTCGGGAAGAAACAAAGCCGGTGACTTACACTTTTCTCTTCAAATCCTAATCGATATGTACAAATCTGAGACTGAAGAAAAAGAAAAAAAATGGAAGAGAGATTTATTTGGTTTATTTGTTGGCCACTGATTTCCGACCAAAGCAGCCTTCGTTGTCGTCCACTGCAAAATAACTAGTACAATAACCCTCTGGTTCTGAGAGAGGGGAAGAGGGAGAGGAGGGAGTTTCAGAGATGAGGTGTTGAGGAATACTAAGAGAGGGATATGAGAAATAAGAAGAAAATAGAAGGAGAGAAATGAGGCATCAGAGGTGAAAGTTTGTTAGAATTTCCCATCTTTACCATTCACACTCACCTACTACACTCCACCTACCACCAATTTACCCTCACCTACTACCCAAACCCTCTCCTATATAATGCCACTCTGATTTGTAATATAACAACATCAATACAATCAATTGTAATATATCTATATCAATCAATAATACATCAATTCTTACATGGTATCAGAGCTATAGGTTAAGCTCTTGGTGCTCTTCGCCTTCTGGCGGGCGGCAACTTTGCCTTAACCGCCCGCCAGACCTCAACCAATTGAAACCTCCAACACATACCTCCTCTCCAACCACCGCCAATAACCACCAATATTGCTATTGCCGCAGCCTTCACGTGATGGACAGAAGGATTTACAGGTTAAATCTTCTGCACCTGTTCAGGCCTTCACTCCCTCAGTTGCACCAGCAAACTTTGCTTAGGCCACCACCTGGGCTATCAATGCCTCCTTCCATGCAGCAGCCGATGCAGTATTCTGGATTCAATGCCCCATTTCCAACTGGAGCATCTAACTTGCCTGGTTCAAACTTACCAGAATATCCTTCTCCTCTGCTTCCTGTTACTACCAATTCCCTCAACTTGGCACCTACATCTTTTCCGGCATCAACTTTGCCATCAATGCTTCCTCCTGCACCTTCTATCACACTAGCTCCTGAAGCATTACCTAGTTCAATCACAAACAAGGCTCCTAGTGCTGCCCTCCCTACAGCAACTCTAAATGCTAACTTGCCTTCTCTTTCTCCTTTGGTTACATCAAATCCAGATACAAATGCTGTTATACCACCAATCTCCAACAAGACTAATGCAATCTCTGGTCCAACTTTGCCATATCAAACCATATCTCAACCCATATCCTCTATTGTTGGGAGTCTTGGGACATCCAGTTCAAGTCAGACTGAAACACCAACACCTTTACTTGTAACCCCAGGTCAGTTGTTGCAGTCTGTACCGGCTGCAGTTTCTTCATCTCAGTCTTCACAAACAGCTCATAAGGATGTGGAGGTTGTTCAAGTATCATCATCAGAACCGTCAGTTCCAGTTCCAGTTCCAACAGAAACTCAACACACAACCCAGGGAGGTGTTTGAGGGGTTGTTTGGTGTTATTCGCAGTCCCCCGTTTGATTTCAAAATCCATTATTTTTATTTATTTTCTCCAAACCACTTTCCTTATTTCCCCATCTTTCATTTTGATTTCAAATATATTTTTATTATTTCTTTCTTTAGTTTTCTTTCACATTATTTTTAATCTTTTTCAAATTCCATTCATACCATATAGCTTTGCACACCAAACCATAATTTATTCATGTCGGGGCTCACCCCGATCACCATGTTTCCACATACAAAAAAAAAATAAAAAATAAAAATAAAAACAAATACAAACAAACAACCACATTCACAGGTGGGATTTTTCTTCTCTACTCTGCCGCCGGTCTTTTCTTCTTGCCTCCGTCCTGGGCGGTCCTTGCCGGTGTTGCCTCCGTGTTTCCCACTCCACTGGGCATGATCACTCCCCCATACTCCTCCACTGCAGCATATGGCGGACCTCCAAATCGGAACATTACGGTGGCCTTCCGCTTCAGCTCCTTATTTTCTGCTTTCAGCACACTTATCTCTGCTCGCGCATCCTTATACATGCGTTGGAGCAGAGCCAGTTGGGCGTTTAAATGCTGCACCTCATTTGTCCTACTCTGCAGCCGGTTCGACAAGTTTGTGACCGCCGTCATACTTTCCACACATGCCTTCAAAGTATACTGATTGGCCTCCACATCCGACTGCACCGCCATTTTTTGCTCCACCGACCGCATAGGAAAGTTCAACGGAGCAAACCCTGGTGCGCTTGGTTGAGGTTCCAGTGCCACCGCACCAGTTATCTCTCTTGTTGACTCGTTGAGGTCGGGAAAGAGAGTGAGCAGACTCCGGGAAGATGAAGCCATTTTCTGGGCCACAGAGTATTACAGTGTATCTCTCTCAGAAATCTCTCTCAGACAACAGAGTGTTACGGACTATCTCTCTCAGCAAAACGAAGAAGAGTTTTTGTTTTTTCCGAGGTTTTTCGCAGCTTTTTCTCTGCCTCTTTATGGGTCCGACAAGACTCTGTAAACTGTCCCGACATTGATTCCGGTTAGCTCCTTTATGGGTCCGACAAGACTCTGTAAACTGTCCCGACATAGATTCCCGTTAGTTTCTACAAGGGTCCGACAAGACTCTGTAAACTGTCCCGACATTGATTCCGGTTAGTTTCTACAAGGGTCCGACAAGACTTTCTAAACTGTCCCGACATTGATTCCGGTTAGTTTCTACAAGGGTCCAGCAAGACTCCGTAAACTGTCACAACAACTGTCACAACATTGTCTGCTACAACGGTCCGACATGACCCCATAAACTGTCTTCTACAACGGTGAGTTTCTGTTGGAACTGGAACTGGAACTGACGGTTCTGATGATGATACTTGAACAACCTCCACATCCTTATGAGCTGTTTGTGAAGACTGAGATGAAGAAACTGCAGCCGGTACAGACTGCAACAACTGACCTGGGGTTACAAGTAAAGGTGTTGGTGTTTCAGTCTGACTTGAACTGGATGTCCCAAGACTCCCAACAATAGAGGATATGGGTTGAGATATGGTTTGATATGGCAAAGTTGGACCAGAGATTGCATTAGTCTTGTTGGAGATTGGTGGTATAACAGCATTTGTATCTGGATTTGATGTAACCAAAGGAGAAAGAGAAGGCAAGTTAGCATTTAGAGTTGCTGTAGGGAGGGCAGCACTAGGAGCCTTGTTTGTGATTGAACTAGGTAATGCTTCAGGAGCTAGTGTGATAGAAGGTGCATTCTTCTATATATAGATTGTATAGGAATTGTAATTAATCAATCTTGTAATACATCAACATATCAATCAATAATACATCAATTCTTACAAAGTTTAAGAAAGATTTGGAAGAAGTTCAATAAGAGAGATAGAGAGAGAGAGAGAGAGAGTGTGTATGAGAATTAAAGGGAAGGCTAAGAGGTGAGAGAAGCTTGTTTCAGAATAACAAAATAAAGAATAAAGATATTGTAATCTTCATCAATTAAAAGAAGAATTTTAGGCTTTGGGATAGGCATTAGGTAGCTGTTTTCCTATAAAATATAATAATGACTTCTTTTGTTTTCGAAGACTTGCAGGCTTTTTGATGTTGTATTAATGACTTCTGATGTTTCCAACAACTTTATTGACACAGCTTGTAGACAAATTTTTTAGAAGAGATAAAGATTCAATAGCTAACAAACAAGAGTATGCCACGTATAAAATTTAATGTATTTAATTAGTTTGGTCGGATCTGGTTGAATGGTTTCGCATTCTATAAAACCAAGACTCAACCCATATATGAAAAAAATTTGCAGTTACTATCCGTAGCTGACTGAGTTGTCTGACAAAACTGTCTGCAGCATCATTTTTCGAGTCGGGTTGGTTGGGTACATCGGGTGAATCGGTTTGTTGCACACCCCTAATTTATATGGATAGTAATGCATGATTGTTTCCTTCCCCATTGTTGCAAGTTTCATGAATTACAGAGTTCAGTTCAGTGTGTGTGTGATGCTTGTCTTTGGGCCTCATTTTTTATTTTCTTTTCTGGCAGTTTAACTTCTATTGTCAGTTAACATTTCCATTCTTTATGTGTAGGCCCCTCAGAAACACCAAAAGTACGTTTCCCATGTCCTTGGCCTTCCCATGTCAAAAGTGGTTTGCAAAACCAAACGAATTGGTGGTGGATTTGGTGGAAAAGAGACAAGATCAGCTTTTCTGGCTGCTGTGGCTTCTGTTCCATCATACTTCCCACCAATTTTAGACAGGGATATAGATATGATGACAACTGAAGATAAATTACAACTGACCTGTCAAACTAACTTTAGACAGGGATATAGATATGATGATAACTGGGCAGAGGCATAGCTTTCTTGGAAAGTACAAGGTACTATTTTTATTTGTCTTGCTGGACAATTCTTGCCAAAACAAAATAATCTTATTGAATTATGGAGCTGGCCCATATACTGCAATACTTTGGCATCTAAGCTGTATGTATAACCGGAGACCAACTGAAGATATGAAATTTGTTCCTACAACCTGTTATCAACCTTTTGTTTGTTTTTTTACTCGTAGACACAAATTTTAAAACATAAAGGCCTTGTTTGGCTTGTTTTTCGGAAAAAAATTTTAGAAAAAATTCTCTACAAACAAATTTTCAAAAGTAATCAAACCAAACAAATTTTTTCAAAAAAAATCTCAAAATTTTATTTGGTTACCTACTTTCCAAAATCACTCTCTCACTCATACACATCAAATCAATCACTTTTTTTAAAATTCTCTCTCAAAAATAATTTTCCAAAATCATTTCTGAAAAAAGGCAAACCAAACAAGTTTTCGTACTTTTTATCTCAAAAACTACTCTACAAACACAAACCAAACACACTCAAAGTATTTTAACACATTTCAAAATTTTATGTTACAAATGTCCACTGTTTAGTTTTTGGACTAAACAGTGTTGATTATTTGAATTGCAGGTTCTTATTTTCGATCTGTATTTTAGATCGTTAATTACACATTTTAGACAGATGAAACCTCCGATTAATGAAGAACAAAATAAACAACAAAAGACAATTTAAGAAAAATAAATATTTTATTGAAATTGCTATGGGTTTTGAACTCTCGAATACAAAATACAATTCTTGGGTTTGGAACCTTTTACCTATTCATTGCTATTAGCATAGGCTCTTGAATTCTTTAGGCTTCTTTTCTTCTTTCTTGTAACGACTTCTTTAGCTCTCAATTTCTTTCTCTCTCTTTCTGATCTTTTCACTTCTGATTTTCTTATCCCCCGTCTTGTGTGATGGTCCTCATATTTATAGAGGGCCATCAGGTGATAGGAATGCCTCATCTTCAATTTGAATTTCAAATTGAATGATAGCGCCATTTGAATTTTGAATAATAGCGCTATCTGATTAATCGTATATCTGATTAACCGGATTGATCTTTGGGGTTTCATCCTGTATGGTGTCCTTGTTGTAGGCTCTACAGGTGCCATCTTTTGTAGGCTCCACGTGTCACTTGAGCATTTTGAATGTCGTATTGAGATACGACGTCGTTTTATTTATGCACTTCAACGAAGCAAGTTGATTATTTTAGGAAGTGATTGCCCACAATAATCTTATCATAGGCTCTGTGTGTCATTGAATGTATTTGAAATTTAAACATAAATTTGGTTGAAATTTATGTGCCAACACTCGTGGTTAGCTGTTTACTACAAAATAGTTTCTGCATTTAAGGTAAAAGTAGTGAGGGAGAAAGGGAGAACAGTTCTCTTGCAACTTTTTTAGTGAGACCTCCTTAAGCTTGTTATTGCACTTTCTTGTGCTTCTTGTTAACTCTAAATTTTAAATATGATGGAGCATGTCAATAATAAAGCTAAATTTTTTGATGCAGGTTGGATTTAAAAATGATGGAAAGGTTCTTGCTCTTGATCTTGAAATATACAATAATGCTGGAAATTCACTTGATTTGTCTCTTGCTATACTTGAACGTGCTATGTTTCATTCTGATAATGTCTATGAGATCCCAAATGTCAAGATAAATGGAAGGGTTTGCTTCACTAATTTTCCTAGCAATACTGCTTTCCGAGGATTCGGTGGTCCTCAAGGTATGCTTATTACTGAAAATTGGATTCAAAGAATAGCCCTGGAACTCAAGAAAAGTCCCGAAGAGATTAGGGTAAGTCATTGCTCTTGATGATATTTTGTTGTCATTGTGTTTTATGTAATAGATCAGATTTGTAGCCGCTGTTGCATATGTTAATAACTTTCATAAAATGGCTTTCCAATCAGGAAATAAATTTTTTGAGTGAAGGATCGGTATTACATTTTGGTCAACAAATTCAACACTGTACCCTGCAGCGGCTCTGGAATGAACTGAAGTCATCATGTGACTTTCTGAAGGCTCGAAAAGAAGTTGAAAAGTTTAATTTTCATAATCGATGGAAGAAGCGTGGGGTTGCTATGGTACCAACAAAATTTGGCATTTCGTTTACAACCAAATTCATGAACCAGGTAACCTTTGAAATTATATTAGTATATTTGGTTTCTCAGGTAGGGTGGTGTTTTAATGACTTTATCTATGCTTTTAAATTGACGAGGCTATGAATATTTGATGCTTCTTTTTTTGGGTTTGGGGGTGGAGCCAAGTATTCTTCTTGTGATGTCTGAAACATCACTGGTTTGAGTAGTATTTCAAATGTGCCTGTTGAATTCACTCAATTATGCAATTCATCACAATCAAGGATCTCTCTATGAAATTCATCACATTTGCACTTTGCAAGCTTTACGCCGTGTTTGGTTGGGAGATTTGGGAAGAGATTTGGAAAATGAAAGGAAAAATGCGTGAAACTAGGTGAAATGTAGCTATATTTTATTCACATTTCACCTACCTTTTACCTTTCTCTTCCCAAATCCCCCAACCAAATACAACGTCCATGGTCCAACTCTCAGAAGAAGAAAAACAATGAAAAGTAGCTTAAAAAGAACAATTACCATCTGTCCATGGCTGGTGGTAGCATTAAAGGAGTTTAAAATCATTGCAAATAATTTGATAGGGAAAAGAACAAAAGATGTGCTAACAGCATACTTGCACATCATTTAAGTTTCAACTGATTAGCCTAATACACCATTATATGTACTGATCATTTGTGTTGCTAATGGACACTATAAAAGGTTTGGATGTACTGATTATTTGTGTTGCTAGTGGACAATAGAAAAGGTCTAGGATTTCTGAAGTTTTTCCTTTGCATCATGTGGGAACCCTGTGAGCTGAAAAGTCTTGGATGTTTTGACTTTAACAGAATTATTTTAACTGCTTGGTTGCACTATTATTTTTCCTGATTGTTTTCAAAATTAATACCTTGAATGAACTCTTATTGATAATCTATCAATTGTTTTATGAAAGGGAACTTGAAATACAGAGGATGGGACATCTGTTACCAAGGCCTAGCTTCAACTAATTGAAACTAGTTACTTGAATAATGGTTCTTCATTCTGCTCTATCAAGGAACCATAAATAATAATCTTAGGACTGAAAATCCCATAAATTTTATATCTCAAAGTTCACAAATGTTCTCTTACAGGTTGCCTACTCCTAGTAACTCATTTGTCTCACCCTTGTCTGATTTTGTTATCCACCAATATTCCACCCCCACCTGACCTATAAAAAATCTATAATGTATCTTTCATAAGATTTCCCTGCTTCCAAGAATCCTAGCTCTCCAAACTAATTCTGCTGATGACCACTGAAGTGTGCCTCTCAATCAAGAAAGTAAATATTAAGTACCAACTATCAAAGGCGTTCAAACACTATCGAAACTCCTCCAAATTCAAGGCTTTGTTTGGTTCATTTTTCAGAATCTGTTTTTTTAAAAAGTTTCAAATACTAGATTGGTAAAAAAAAATGTAACTAGGTTTGGGAACATAGAAAAAAGCCTCATCTTTTTCCCATTTTTTTGTCTTTAGTGACTTTTTTTATAAAAATTATGTCAAACATTTTTATTTTTCCGGTCTATTTTGTCGAGACGAATATAAAAAGTACAGCTTTTTAGAAAAATTCCAAAAAAAATTGAAAAAGCCAAAATAAGCCAAAAGAAACCATTATTTTTTTGCTTATTTTTGTCTTTTCTAGATTTTTTTTCGGAATTTAATTTTTCGGTTTGTTTTGTCGAGCTAAATCTAGAAGCTTAAAGTTTTTTTGGAAAATTTTAAAAAAAGTTCACTAAGGACGAAAATAAGCCCCCCACCAATGATTGTGCAAAAGAAAAAGAAAAAAAAAAAGAAAAAGAAAAAATATGCAAAAACGGAAGTCATTATTTATATATGGTTTTCTTTTTTTTTTTTTGGGGTGAAATAATTTTTAAAAATTGAAAAAGTATCTTTTTTAGTGTTTATTTTTGTCAAACTAATTTCTAATTTTTTTTTTCAAAACAAAAAACAACAATAAAAAAAAAAAAACAAAAAAAATTCAGAAAACAAATTCTGAGAAGTCAATCAAAAAGAGCCCAAGTTTTCTTTGATCAATTTGGCTGGTTCTTGTTCTGCTTGTCGTGAGGTGACCAGTTATCCTTTGAGTGGCTCAGTGGCTATCGAGCATTTAGGCAAGCCTCCACTGTAGTTAACTTGACAACAAGGAATATGTTAGACCCTAATTTCTTGTCTTAATCACTTCTAAAGAGCAAGGATCCTAGCTTTGATAGAAAAACCTCATGTAGTTGGCCTCGAGAAATATTAATACTATGTTTGTGCTCACTAAATAGACCTAGATACCAAGTTATGGATTCCCTAGGGAACAACAATAAGAGTTAAATTGATTCTCCTCTGGGTTTCTTCTTGGGAGATGAGTTTTATTACTTAATAAATGCTGGAGACATTCTAGAAGTTTTAGAGCAGGTTTTCATCTATTCATTTATCTATTATAAAATAAAAACTAAGGTCCATATATAATAGTAGACTCTATGTTATGAAGCACTCTTTTCATTTAGAGGATATAAGTGCTGAAATGAAACCTTATGAATTTGATCGTGTCATTTGCCTTAAAATTTGTGGAGTCGATGAATGCATGACCTTGAAACCTACGTCATAGAGACTCATTAGTTTTGGTGAAGTACTTGTGTCGACACGATACGACACGGGTACGGGTATGGAATCTGGCCAGGATAGGGCATGGAGAAGATGGATACAGTGGCATACCTATGATTAGGGCTTCGATCTTCATCTCAAGCTACAATCATCTTTGTCTCTCTCGATTGTCTTCTCTCTTCTCTCACTCTCGATCGTCTTTGTCTCTCGATCGTCTTCACTCTTCTCTCACTCTCGATCTCTTCTTTGTCTCTCTCTTCTCTCTCTCTCTTCGATCTGTTTTTGTCTCTCACCTCTCACTCTCAATCTCCTCTTTTCTCACCCTAATTAAATAGTTTAACATAAATAATATTTAGTATAATTTATCATAAATAATAACCAAACCAAACCAAACCAAATGAAACCAAGCCTTAAGTCCCATCAAATGGGGTCGGCTGCATGAATCCTTGTTCTCCACTCGACTTTCGTTAGTCAAATTAAGGAGAGTCATATCTCTATTTACTACACTAGTCCACGTTAATCTAAATTTGTTACTTCCCCTAACACTATCATCTACTATTACTGTATCGCATCTCTTCACTATTACTTCTGTTGAAGTCCATTGTATATGACCACACCATCTCAATCTATTCTCTCTCAACTTATCTTCTATCTGTACTACTCCTACCCATTCTCAAATATATTCATTCCTAATTTTGTCTTTTCTAGTTTTGCCATATATCCACCTTAGTATCCTCATATTAGCAACACTCATCTTATCACATGGTGTTTCTTAGTTGCCCGACATTCCGTCCCATACAACATTGCTAGTCTAATAGTCGTTCTATGGAACTTTATTTTTAGTCTAGTGGGTACTTGTTTATCGCACAATATCACAGATACGCTCCTCTACTTAAGCCACTCTGCCTTAATTTTATGGACCACATCTGCGTCAATCTCCCCAGTCTCCGTGATAATAATTTATCATAAATAATATATAATATAATTTATAAATTATAATTTTTATCATATATAATATAAATTATATCATATATAATAAAATTTGTCATATATAATATATCATAAATAATATAATTTTGATGCCTAAAATAAAAATAATATTTATTTTATCATATATAATATAATTTATTTTATGCCTAATATAATTTTTAATTTTTATTTTTTTTAACAAATCTTTTATTTCTTAACTATTTTTAACTCATCTTCATATAATAAATATATTTAAGGAATAACTATTTAATGTATCCTTGTATCCATATTCAAATTTGAATCCATATCTATGTATCCTTAATTTTTTAGTTTTGAAGTGTCCAACCCCTAGATATGCACCCACACCCGATGCCCGCACCCTAGTCCGTGTAACGTAGCTTGAAACTTGCCAACAGTCTGAAGTCTGATGTGTTTCTGAATTCATGTAATATAGGCTATATATCTATATATATCTCTCTCTATATATATATCTTTACTGATTATGTACATGTGGATTTTGCAATTACTTTGCCTAGTGGTTGATACTTTGTTAGGGCTTAGGTCTCTGTTAGGGACGTTGATAGGGTAGTTCATCGCTTAGCTGATGTAGTTATATACTGAGTGATGAGAATGAAGTATCTTCTTGTAAAGACTGTCTTACATATGGAACTTGATGTTACTGGCCTTCATGGAGATATCCCAGAAGCATGTGCCCTCTTTTTTTTCTTTTTTCTTTTTTCTTTTTTTTATTTTTTATTTTTTTATTTTTATAATTTTCTAGAAGTTGTCTTACAAGAAAAGAAAACTCCATGTTTCTTGATGGTTATTGGTTTTTGTTTTAGTGTTGCTATATTTTTCATATTCTTATTACTACATCTTGTTGACTGTAGGCAGGCGCTCTTGTACAAGTTTACACTGATGGAACAGTGTTAGTTACACATGGGGGTGTTGAGATGGGGCAAGGTTTACATACAAAAGTTGCTCAGGTTGCTGCTTCTTCGTTCAATATTCCTCTCAGTTCTGTGTTTATATCAGAGACAAGTACTGATAAGGTAATGAACTTGGTTTAGATTACTGGTCTTTATGTTGTTTTAATTTTATAGACTTGAAGTTTTTTTGGATTCAACTTGTTATAGAGGTTAGCTTTTATTATGGACTCTTTTTCAATAAGCGTGGAGAAGTGAAATGGGTGGGGTGGATGAAAGATATGTTGCTCCTAGGGAGGGATCAAAATTCTCAACTTGACGAAAAAGGGATATTGCAACAAGCATCAAAGATGACTGAGATTGAGTCTTACGAATAGAAGAACTTTAGAAAAGTTAGACCATAAAGAACTAAAGATTGTTTCTTTCCAAAAACGTTATAGCAACTGTAAAAATTTATGTATTATTGATTGATGTTTATTGATGTGTTATTCTGTCTATTACAAATGGTTCCTTACATAGATGTAGGTGTAGTGGATGGTGGTAGTGGTGTAGTGGGTTTGGTTTAGTGGAGTAGGTGAGGTGGTGTAGTGGGTTAGGTTTAGTGGAGTAGGTGAGGTGGTAGTGGTGGTAGGTGATGGTAAATTCTAACAGCAACCATCAAATGTGTGCCAGCACCGTCTTTAATAATTGAGTTGGCTTTTATCATAACCAAGGACTTTGGCTACATCATCACATCAGCATCATGATATTCCTGCCAAAGAGTATTTTCTTTGCTTTGGGGGTTCTTGGCTGGTATCATGCAATTAGAGATAACCTTATGTAGAGCATCATGTTATATCAACGGAAGGGAATTGAATTATTAGTTGATATAAAGAGAAAAATGAACTCTTCAACTAAGGTTTTTATCTATGAAGCACGGACACGTCCTTAGGTTTGCATACGAGTGTCAGACACGCTGCGGACACTTGTCCGACACTCTCCCTTACGTGTTTCGTTTTTTTTTTTTTTGAAATTTTTCCAGTCGGACACGCAGTGGACACGCGATGACACATTTTAGACACTCAGGTTTGGACCAAAGAAGCCCAAGACCTATTGGAGAGGAGAAAGAGAGAGAGCCAGAGACAGATCGATGGGAGAGAGAGGGAGACAGATCGAGGGGTTGAGGGTAGAGAAAGGAGAGATAGACCGAGGAAAGAGAGAAGAAACCTTAACCTGTTTCGACTTGGTCATCTGTGTTCTTCTTCTTCTCTTTGTCTTCTTCTCTTCATCTTCTGTCTTCTTCTCTTCTTTGATTTTGTTTATTCTGTGTCTCTCTCCCCCCTTTTCTGTTTCTCTCCCTTTTCTGTCTCTTTTCCTTCCTTTATTTTATTTTATTTTTTATTTTTTATTTTTTATTTTTTATTTATTTATATCCATGTTTTTATTAAAATTTATAAAACAAATTATCTTTATTTGAAAAAAAAAATCAATTTTTATTAAAAAATTTAGGTAATGTGTTTAATAATTTAATTATTATTATAATTTTATAGGAACCAATGATTTATTATTTTTTTTACTTTTTAAATTTTAGATATATAATAAACAAATAAAATTATATATATTAAACATGTTTCTAGCGTATTGTGTCTTCCATTTTTTAAAAATTTGCGTATCAGAGTGTCCGTGTCTGTGTCTATGCATCATAGGTCTTAATGTTGTGCATGAAATTTAATAAATACCATATAGTCAATTTCTAAAGCAACAATTATAAGTTGATTGAGATTATCCACCTGTTTTCATTAGGGAAATTGCATTTAAGTGGTGCAGTGAAAAAATATTTTCATTTTCATGGTGGTGCAAGTTTTTTGTGTGCATGGTGCAAATCATTCTTGTGCATGGTGCAATTCCATCTATAGTGCAATTACTTTTTTACTGCTCCACTGATTTGCAATTTCCCCTTTTTATTATCTTCCAATATGTTACATTTGTGTATACTTGTATACTGTTTATACTTTCATAATTGGATTCCTGATGCCGATTCCTCATTTCTGTTTTGGTTTGTATTTGCCGTCAAATTAGGTTCCAAATGCATCACCAACAGCAGCTTCTGCAAGCTCTGATATGTATGGTGCTGCAGTGTTAGATGCTTGTGAGCAAATAAAAGCACGGATGGAGCCTGTCACCTCAAAGCAGAAATTTAATTCTTTTGCAGAGGTACTCTACTCATGATACCTGTAAACCACTCTTACAAGATGCCATTTTTCTCCCATGTTAGAGAAGATATTCTTTTTTAATCTCTTGAGATTAATTGATGCAAGGTTGAAGAAAGTAGTTGTCATATTCAAAACAATTTAGTTTTATTTGCCAAATTCAATTTTTTTTTTGGGTTGGGTTGGGGTGTGTGTGTGTGTCAGATAGTTTGACATGCATTGTTGGGCCATTTCCTAATAGCTTAAGCTTTTGGGACAATTTTTGACTTGACAACATATATAAATTTATTGGCATGCATTACTCCCATGGTTGTCAAATCTCAAATTGAATCGCGAATCGAATTTCTAAAAAACTGAATCGTGAATCGAATCGAATCATATATATATATATATTTTTTTTAATAAAAAATATACATATTTATATACATATAAAATCACAAATATAGTGCTTAAAATGAAAAAAATAACAATCTAATATAAATTTCATGCATCATTGTTTCATTGATTTAAGAGGAAGCTCCAAACGTTTATAGATCAATGTTCAAACTTCAAAAACCAGCTTTTGACAAAATTCAAAATCCAAAGTGACATCATTAGGCTTAGGCATAGTGGCATACAACACAACAGACTATTGAACTTCTAATTTCTAAATTTCAGTCATGTCATCATCAAGAACATTGATCAATTCATCATCTTCACTTCCAACATCTACTTGCTCAATATTTTCTATCTCTTGTTCTTCATCATCATCATCATCATCTACTTCAACCAATTGTTTCCCTTGTCTTGTTGAGATTTCTAGGCCCTACAAATAAGAGTAAGAAGTTTTCATTTTGAACATTAAGGCAGTAGACCCATGAACTTTGAATGCATAAAAGTATTTTACCTCTCTTCCTCTTTTTGCTACTTGATCCTGCTTGAACTTGAAAACATTCATAGGTGGTGCCCTCAGGTAGGGTAGGATCTTCTTTTTCAGTTTTCCACTCATCATCGGATTCCACATCCAATAGAGAAATAGGATCATAGGCATCCCCTTGTTCTACCCTTTTTTAGTGTCTTGCTTCTAATCGGAGATTATACTTTGTGAACACAAGTGCATTAAGTCTTTGTTGTTCCAATCGATTCCTTCTCTTAGTATGCACCTATTAAAGGAGGAGGGTTGAATTAGGATTTATTATTCATTTGAAAACTAAAATATTTATTGAAATTAATTTATATATATATTGTTATACTTGATCAAATGTACTCCAATTTCTCTCGCATCCAGTTGCACTACAAGTCAAGCTAAGAACATGAATGACAAGAGTTTGAAGTTCTTTACAGCCTCCTCCAAAAGAGGCCCACCACAAGGCTATCAAGTATTAACAAAAATTAATCACAACTTTAGTAAAACAAATGGGAATCTTAAATAAATGTAAAGTTATTGTCATTCCAGGTTGTTTCTTGCTTCGCATTTGAATGGCCATCCCCATCCCAAACATGTTTTCCGCTTTGTGAAACTAATCTATTTGCCTATCCACCTTTTCTCGCAATTGACGAGTGGGGCACATCCTTTCAATTGTCTCATAAAGTCCCTTCTTTATCTCATAATCCGCATTAAAAGCAGGAGCATAATGAAACCTTTATTGGGATTTAAGTAAAAGAATTGTATTTCACTAATAATTAACTAGTAAAATAATATAAATATTAGTTATTACCTTGGATTAAGAAGATAATATGCAGCTGCATGTATAGGCCTCTGCAACTGCATGTCCCATGTCAAATCGATGATAACCCAAATCGGTTTATACCTCCTTTGTACTCCAAAATTGTTTGCTATTTGCTCCTTTGCCTTATCCATTGCTTCATAAATGTATCGCATTGCAGGCTTGGCATCCCAGTCAACAAGTCTCAAAACCTTTACTACTGGGGGTGTACACTTAAGACAATATTGGATTGAGGACCAAAAATTCTTGTCAGCTAAAAGGATATCTCTTACTATTAACCTATCAGCTTTCTTTGAATAAGAACTTCTTTGCCATTCTTCAGAAGCAAACCTTGCCCTCAATTCAATCTTCAACTCATGTAGATGCCTCAAAGTTAAATAGGACGGCAAATCTGGTGACAGCAGGTCTTGTCAACTCTTTTTTTGTGTATGTCCTCATCAGGTTCAAGACCTAGGCATGTCTAAAATTAAAAATAATTTTGTTAGTAAAGTAAAACTATAAAACAAACTTAAATAACTTACATAATAAAATAAACAATTACAAATATGGAAATAGGTTACCTATAGATGTAAACTGTAATCTTTCTTGCCTTTTACATAGTATCCTTATGAGTAGGCAAGTCCCCAATATCAGTCAGAATTAGATCCATACAGTGCGCAACGCGAGATCAAAACAATTGATTTCTCTTTTTCATCAACATTGATCCAGCTTTTACATAAGCGGATGCGCAATCAGATGAAAAAGAGAAAGTGCTGAGAGTTTTTGCAGAATTTTACGAGTCGGGGATGGTTAATCTGAGTTCAAATGCCACATTTATCTATTTAATTCCTAAGAAAGTGAATGCAGTTAGAATTGGAGATTTTAGTCCCATTCGTTTGGTTATGTCACTTTATAAGATTTTGGGAAATATTTTTGTCACGACCCGAACCCACCCCTAGAGGTTTGGATCATAACCGGCTAGTAATCATGAGATTACCTATGGCCTCAGACAGAAATTCAGTACATAATTAAATATATGGGGCCAGAAGCGGAAGCAAAATAATAAAATTGTCCAATGAGCTATGTAGATATGACATAACAAAAACATCTTATATGTTAATAACTCACAATCATACAAACACACACTGATTATACATTCATTTCAGACTACATGTACAAAGACTTATACATAAGCGTATCATTTATGAACTTACAAAACTTAAACTTCTTAAAAACAAAAGATGGTCAAACATGACCAATAAAAACAAAACGAATGACAAAAGCCTCATCCTAGAGGCATCCTTGGCTGACTTCACAAAACACGATAATCTTCTATAGGTTCACTAGGGCTGGATATCTTGTTGTTCACCTATATACATATATATAACGGAGTGAGCTAAAACCCAGTGAATAATATCGAAGTAAAGAGGTTACATGAAAGAGTTTTATTATTTAATATAACTATTCTCATATTCAAATTCTTGACATAGCAAAACGACCTCGCTTCCAAAACTTGACAGAACGACCTTTGGTCCAACATATAGTAGAAATACTGAACATAAGAGATCATAACTTGGTGAAATGACCTTGGGTCCAATTGAATACAGCTGTAGAATGACTATTTGGTCAACACATAACAGATATTTCAAACTTGTCAGATAATCAAAACGATCTTGGGTGCATCTTATCAGATATATAGAACGACCCTAGGTCTACCATATACATTCATACTTCGCCATTCACATTTTCAGATATTATGTTGATCGGATAGATAGAAGGCGCATTCATACTTTCAAAATTACAAGTTCAGAAAATAGAAAATAGAACATAAGAAAATATCTTTAAACACATACACACATTGGAACACATTGCTTGATCATTCTTAACTTACCTAATTCCTTAAAGTCCAATTATTACTTATTACTTCATTCACGAGGCTTAATTCATGCCTATGGATGTTCGGAAAGAAATGAGAATGAAGATATAAACAGAATACAACTTATCAAAATGTGTTGAAACAAGATAGTTCGCTCGAGCGGTCTTTTGGTCTACAAAAGTACTAATGGTCGCTCGAGCTAAGGTGTGAAGAAAGCTGAGGTCGCTCTAGCAGTCACTTGAGTGCAATACTCTACAAGCGGTCACTTGAGTGCAATAATCTGCAAAAATACTAGAAACTCTCATTGGGCGCTCGAGCAGTGACTTCATCGCTTGAGCGATGAGGCGGAATTTGGGGTTTCCAAAACATAATTTTGTGTTAATCTCTAAGTCAAAAACTTGCATGACTTGTCCATAATCTTGCAAACACTTAGAATGTCATGAATATGTAACCAATTCAAACCTTAGCTCAAAACTCCATGATTTCATCAAATTGAAGCGTGAACTTCATAAATTCTTCATAAATGGAATTTAAATCTTCATGCATGTATGAACTTGTTTCCAATTCTTCTTCTACAACTTTCAAAACATGAAATTGAACCTCAAAACTCTTTAAATCATAGATGCATGTATGGTTCAACTCTCAATTCAAACATAGATAACAAAATCATGCTAAAAAAGGATGGAACTACTTAAAATCATGCATGCATGTATGCCTAGCTTTCAAATTCATCATCTTTAGCTCAATTCTTGTGTTTAATCTCATAAACTTCTTGAATTCATATGTTAGGTGAGTTATCATCAAGAATTGAGGTTGAATTTCATACCTAGAGCCTTGAATTACACTTGTTCTAGCAAAAACTTGAGTTCCTCTCCTTAGTTCTTCAATCTCGTAGCAAAATCTCCAAGATCAAGTTTCCTCTCTCTCTAAAATGAAGTCTCTCTCTAGAATTCTTTCTTAGTAGAATTTGAGCTCATGAATAAGTTAACTCTCTTCTATTATCATATATATAGGTGAGATTAGCTTAGTTCACTAATTAAGGATTAAGTTAACTAATCAAGGCTTAAGTTTAATTAATTAAACTTAATTTTTTCTGAACTGAATCAAATTTTAATCAAACTTCTCAATGGGTCCCACAAATTATGCCACCCTAATTAAACTCGTAAATTTCAGTTTCTAAAATCATTAAGGCTTTCAATTTCAAATTTAAAGAAGAAATTACGACAGATAATTCATTAATGAACAGATATGCATACAAATTACACATCAAATATATAATTTGTTAGGGAAAATATGTGATTTCCCACAAGTAAATCAATCAATGAGAATAAAAACTAATGCGGAAAAATTAAATCAAAGGCAACACAAGAATTTTTATGTGGTTCCCTCAATGTGAGGTACGTCCACGGGATCGAAATCCGATTCCACTATCAACCAAATAGT